AATATATTTTACTATGAAAATCATTTAAATTTAAAAAATCCAAGACATGTAAATGTGTCTAATCGTGATGTATACACAAAAGAAAAATTATCTTTTTATGATCAAATTTGGATTTAAGATTCTTCCAAAGCTTGATTAGATCTTTCATTTTTAAATATTGATATTATAATGTAGGTACAAGATGACAACAAAGGAAAAAAATACTTTCCAATGGATAGCAAGAGGAATAGAAGTACCTATAATAGAAGATTCTTCAAACAAAATTACATCTAAGAGTTGTTTTATAAATAAATTTATTTTTACTATTTTTATTCATAATAAATAATTATTTCTATCAACAACCAATGGTTGAAATAGAAGAGCTTGAAAATATTGGAATATAGTGATAATATTTGAAAACATAGTAGAGATAGTTGAGAATGTTGAAGCACACATTGTAAATAAATTTGTAAAAAAAAATAAGATCAAGTAGAAAAGGTTGAATAAAATACACCTTGAAATGTAAAGCCAAATAAAATAATAAAGTTTAAATTAAAATCAAAAATATTAATAATTTGAGGATTTTTTTTTTTTTCACAAAAAATAGGAATCTGTAATAGAGTGCAGTAGTAGTAGTACAATGGCAATCGGTGGCAAGGTATGGCAGTTTGACCGCAAGTAAGGCGTAACAACACTAGGGTACAAGGCTCAGTAGCAATAAGGTGCAGCAATACCATAGCGCAACAACAACAAGGTTTAACAATAGTAGAATTCAGCAACAACAAGTTTTAGCAATACTAGGATTCAACAACTTTAGGGTAGAAAAAAAAATGAGAAGAAGTCAAAGAGCAAGGTGCATATAAGTTTTTAAGAATCAAGATTAGAATACAAGAGCAATTGTGTTGATAACGTGTTGAGAATGTTTGAAAAGACACAAGAGTAGTTGGAAGTAATATTCATACATACACATAAAAACAAGAGTATATTAATGTGATTGTTCCTTGTATACAAAGAAAATGATAGAAGATAAACAATTTCTCCCCACTACATTCTAAACATTGTAGCTATAGTATTTACTATGAACTACAATAAATATTATGAAGAGCGTCGACTACATTTAATGCTCTCAATAGGAACCAAGTCAATCACCAATTAATATATGAAAGATAGTCATTATATGTACCTATTACAGTATGCATACAAGGTATCTGTAACATTCAAGTAAAATAATATAAGATTTTTCAAATCATTCATAAAATTTCAAATTATGAATAAATATTTTTTCATAATTTTTAAAAAAAATTATGTGTATCATCTATTGAAAGAAATTGTCATTACTTTAATAGAAGGACTAACATATGGTACTAACAATTCATTAATCAATAATTTGTGTACTTGGTTTATTTTCAACATTTTTTTTTTTAAATAATTTTGTAATAATTTGATTAATGATTTTTTTTTCTTATGCTGCTTGTAAATAAGGAATATCTTATAAATATGTATTTTTGCAAAAACACCTCTACACTCAACCTTGTAGATGAATGTCATCTAAGAAATACTCATCTATATAGGATTGTGGCTAGGCAAAGGATTTTATTCATTGCCTATTACTTATTTGTCATCTTTTATCTTTAAGCTTAGGTTGAGCATACAAGGAGTATAATCCATTATTAAATAAATATTTATATATTTGAAACATAGAACATGTTCTATATGGGTTTATTAAATTGGTAAAAAGAGATTTTTTTTTAAACTTAAGAGAGGTCAAGTTTAAACCTAACTAGTAGTATAAATATTTAAATATATTACTTATTATTTTATCAAGTCTAATCATATTTTGTTGAAAAATTTATATCTTTCAATAGTCTATCTTCACCTTTAGACTACATTTATAGTAAAAATATTAAGATAGTTTTTATATTTCTATTACATAATAAATATGTAGGTAATATAGGCATAAATTTTGATGCTTGCAAATAAGATAATAGTTTTTATGGTTTTTTATAATATTACACAATAGAATAGGATTTTAGAAGTTTTGGATAGATGTACAATTCAAACTTTGAAGTATACAAGTTTAACTATAATTTCTTAGAATGACAATCTCTTAGAAAGAGACCCACATTTTATATTGTGCTTTGTAAATCTTGAGTATAAACCAAGACTTCAGTGTAACATGCCTACAAATACTTGATAATCATCTAGAAATCTCAACCCATATCCCAATGTCATGGTCTATTTTGCAAATTTGCATCCACTTAAGAGACTCTCAATACTAGCAAAATCTTGGATTGTTATATTATAAAAAATAAGGTTGTTTCACAAATAATTTATATAAATTCAAATAAAAATAGACTTGAATATTTTAATATTTTCTAATATCTCAATTAATACATATTTTTTATTATATATAATTCTTAATTTTTTATCCACTTACAATAAACTTGTGTCAAAATAAATATTCTATTTTATAATATAAAATAATTGAATAAATATATTTTAAAATAATTATTAAAAAATAATATCTATTTAACATCCAACAAAGATGTAACAATTTTTTTTATAAGAACACAAGTTATATATTCTAAGTATATAAGAGCTAGAATAATTTTTATAGCTAAAAGTATGATTTTTTGTCTCAAAAGTCAATCTTAAATATGTTAAAGGTTCCAATAGAGTTGGAATTGGGAGTGTATATAATTTTATTTTTCCATATACTAAGCAGTTAGTTTGTAAGGTTGGATCTCTTGTTAGCAATAGATTTTTATAAATCATATTAGAAGCCATTATTGGAAATAAGTTAGATTAATCAAATATACACGCTTTTAATACTTCAATATATATATATATATATATATGTATATATGGATATAATAGATAATGTCTCAAACAATATTTATTTGATTTTTAGAAGAAATTAGGATATATTTAAGCAAGATTTTAACTATTCATCTTCTTTAGAAAAGTACCACAAGAGATAAAGATAAGGTATTGAATTTCTGAAGATACACTTCTATTTAGAATATTTCTTCAGTATAGAAAAGAACTTTGCTTTATATTAAAAAAAATAAAAGATTGCATACTTGTTTTAGCAAAACAACATTGATTTGATGCAAATAAAGATATAATTTTATATAAACATGTAATATGAAATCAAAAGAGAAATTAAATTATCCAACCTCTTAATGGTCTATATAGTTCTTTTTTCTCCTCAAGCACCAAGGCCTTTTTATTATTTGATGACCAAAGGTTTTTTTTTGAATGATCCTAAGATAGAAGAAAAAGAAAAAATATTCGATTAAGTTTTAATAAAGGTATAAAATTTCTAACTAAGGTTAAGATATTTATTAAATTTTTATAAATAATTTTTAAAAGAATATAGTAGGAAAGCATATCAAAAGTAAAATTTATGTTTAAAAAAAATTCTTGAAGTACAATTGTTGTTACTAAAACAAAATCCATTGGTTGGATATTATAAGGAAAATCTCGCTTAAAAAAATATTTAATGATAAAAATTACATAAATAGAAATTAGAAGATCAAAGAACTAGAATCAAAGTTTTTTAGACGAAAATGGGGGATAAATGCGCCAAAGAATTCCTTCTATTAGTTACAAACAAAAGGCCTTATACATGATTGAATGTTCTTTAAGAATATTACAAAACCCAATTTTATGAAGAATAAGAGATTTAGTAGGTATAATACTCATATTGTTCTAATATACAAAGCACCTCTAGTCTCGTTAGATGTTCAATTAACATAACATCAACTAATTAATAACTCATAGAAAGAAATTATATTAAGGAAGAATGACACTTTTATTAAACTTTTAACAACCTTTGAGCAAAAAGATGCAATTTCTAACATGACTTTAAAAAAAACTTCCAGCCTTTATAAATTCATTATTTATATTTTTTAAACATATTTTTAAATAAAATAAATAAATAAATAAATAAATAAATAAAAGACTACTTTAATATGGTATGTTGAACCTTTGAGAGATGTACCTTCTCTTGTATTTGTAAAAATGCTATATTTTTGCACAAAGAATGTATAAGACATAAATTAAGAAATTAGAGGTCAAAAATATTCTGACTCCTATAAAATATACTCAAAGAGCATGTTAAAGATTGATTTTTTTTAAAATCTAATTTCTAAAAATAGGTCTCCAATCACATGCTTTACATTGGGATGAAGAAGCATCAAATAAGTTGAAGAAAATGCTAAATTATAGAGGAGTGCATAATAAGTTTAAGTTAAATATCCACATCCAAATCTATATGGAAGTTGAGAGCCTTGGAATGCATTCTTAAAAAAAACAATTTATTTTTGCAATTCCTTGTCCAACTCAATTCAATAAATTTAATCTCATTTAATTCCTTCTTACAAGATTGTATAAATGACATAACTAAATCTATCAAAATACAAAAGTCTGATATATGGAACATTCATTTATATCATTTTTCAAAATTATAGAAAACAATTCAAGCATAAATCAAGTAACAATAAGACCTCAACATGAATTTTCTAAGCAAATGATGTAGAACATGGTTGAAAATACATTAGAACATAGAGAAAATGATTTTAGTCAAATGAACAATAGAATCACTCTGAATGGCACTAAAATTGATTTTACACCTGACCAACTTTCTTAGTGAGATATCCAATTTTAGTGTATCACAACACTCCATTTTCTGGCTGCAAAATTAGAAACAAGACAATAGCTACATGTGTTGTACATTATTAATATTAATTTAAGTGTCATATATATATCCCGCCAAACAGTGCCAAACAGTGCGTGCATCGATTCTCGATGCCGATTAATGTGGTCCCAACAATTGCTTGCCATGCAACCTTATTGTGGTTACATGCTCAATGACAATAATTCATGGCTAATCTCCTACTATTTGATCCTGCAGCGGATCTCAAAAGGACCGTACCCATCCGCCCGAACTCCGTTCGTGCCAGTACTGCAGAGTGTGGCCAGGAAACGCAAGACACCTGAAGCGCGCATTGAAAAATGCTGCATGCTGTTTCACACTCAATGATTTTCCCCAAAAAATTCATCAAACTGCACCAGAGAAACCTTTACCCACAACATTAGTCCATCCAAAATGCACATGCAAACAATTATCCGCCGTTTCATAACTGCTTTCCAACTGAGCAGAATGACTATGTTTTCATGGTTTTCTACGAAGACAAATCTACTGACATCTAATATGTTCCGCAATTGGTATCTAGGACACATAAAGAAGGCAGACTCTAATTATCTAGCTGCTGCCCTCGCACTCAAGGTTGTATGATAATTTGTACTCCTTTGTTTTCTGTAAGAAGTATACACATCGTCGTATTGAGTGACCTCATTTGGATCAGCGCTGGCTCCCAAACCAAGGCGACCTGAACTTGTCATGCCAGGTCGATGCTCTAGGCTTCCGTCTTGCATGGTGCCGACTTCTGAATCGATCTGCATACTGTTAGGAGGAGGGATGCGAGCACCTCCTTCCCTGCCAATATCTTCGTCGCCTTCATCATCATGGTTCTTGGCATCATTCACAGCCACTTGTCCTTCTAATGGATCAACCTCTCCTATCTCCTTGAAGAACTTTGTCACCCTCTCAAGAATATAAGAATCTGAGGCTGTGGAGGGAGGAATAACGGTGGGAATATCAAGAGGACTCAAAGGAGAATATGGAACGCCACTTCCAATCTGCATCTTCCGTACCATCCCTGGAATCAGTCCCGGTGGAAATAGTGGATAGGGAGTTTGGTCCGTTGGGCGGACTGGAGTTGGTAATGCTGCAAGTGGTGGCGTTTGAATTGGTACAGGAGACGGCAGGGGAGCTAAAAAAGGTGGTCCAGCTAGTGCAGGATATAGAGAAGGCACTGGAGACGCTATGTATTGTTGAGCAGGGTTCGACGAATTAAATTGAACACCTGCTCCGTAAAATTGAGGAGCTCCTGGAAATGATGACGACTGCGGTTGCTCTGTTTGTTGTGGTGGTGCATTGGATGACGGTTGCGAGGCTTGATCTGACTGCCACTGACTTCCATACTGAAATGGTACTGCTCAGGGTAAAACAAACAGCAAGAGATGGTAAACCACCACCAAGAAGAGGAAGTTAGACAGCGTTCACATAATTTGGCAGCTGCAGTCAGGTATAAGATACGAACAAGCAAGACATGTATGACATAGAAGGCTGACCATACTTGTACATCCATCTAGCTAGCTGTGTCTAAAGCCAATATTCAACACTTACACGAACAGAACAAATATGAAACAGAAACATGTGAAGGATGCTTACCAGCTGAGGAAGGTTTCATTGTAGGTACCTCTGGGGGTGGAGGTCCAGCTACCATCTCACCTTCCAAAGTATTAATAGTATCCATATCATAGACCTCCTTGGCACCCCAAAATTGCAGGATCTTCTGTAAGCGATCTTGATTCATGGCCATGTCTTTTGGATTGTGATAGATGGCGGCCAACATACCCCCCAAAGCAGGCTTGAAGGCGAGAGCTTCGGGATCAAATTCCTTCAAATTTGTGCGGTGCTGTAGACTGCATACATAGGCCAGAACTTGAAGTATTAGTATTTTCACCCGCCGTACCACTACTGCTACTGCGTTAAGTGACCTTCTCACTACGAACTATCACTAATAAGTGAGAAACCAGGAATATCCGAGAAGACATTCTTTGATGACGCTACTTCACAAAGTGGAAACACATAACTTGCTGCATGTTCATATCAAGTGAATTTTAAAAAGCAGTGCAAAGGAATGGGACCAGTGTAGAATCGGATGTTTTGAACCTGCTGAATAGGATTTCATTCGCAAGATAAATGATGTGTAACTGTCTCTCCACATCGTCCATTGACAGAACTCGCTCTTTCAACACTTCTACCAACGCTGGCCCGTAAGCAGCCCTCTGCATGAACCACATTTTTGCTCCTTTGATGGATTCTTTTGTACCTGAAAAGCTAGTCAAGCTTGTTAGGCATCTCTAGGAAAAGATATTACTTATCATTAACAAAACATCTTACTAACATTACGATAAATCCAAAATGCATCATCCCATGACTCCTCTCAAAATTAAGCCGTCAAAAAAAGATTGAGTGAACAGCTTAAAGGTTGTCTGTGAGCAAAGATTCGAAAAGTTAACATATTGTAACACAATTGGAATTTTCCAAATCAAATGATCCCTGACATTTAGGATTGAGAAGAAGCACCAGTCTCATATTCCCACTAAGAATAAATCCGATAAATAAGTTGCACAAATCGTTGAATTAGACGCACATCCTACTGTGAACCACGTCTGAGCTTCTCATCTCTAAAAAGTGGTGTCTCTCACTTCTAACATAGGCATGGTGCCATCGAAATAATTGTTGACCACATTTGACAGATTAGAAAAGACGGTGATCACTAAAAGGAGACTATTATGACATAATCGACGAAACCAAAAACAAGTAAAGATAAAAATCTCAACATTCATCCGCCTTTCCCCTTCGGATACGCCAAGTTACACACTTTACATTTCTCGTGATTCAAAGTGCCGAAACTATGGATCCATATTTCACATTGTGATTTTAGGGATGATCGAAATATGATATTGCAGAAACATGTACCTGTCAAGTTGTCCAGTATTCCTTTCATCTGAGATGCAATATCTGCAGGAAGAGGTCCCGAGTGCGGTGCGACGGGAGCTTGCTGATAATTGACTTCTCCGTAGCTCTCATGTTGAAACTGATCATAAAATGGTTGAGAATGATGTTGTTGCTCAATGTACGCAGACGGAAACGCACTAGGAAGAGGCACAGGTGGAGCAGCACTCAAAGCTGGTTTGAGTGAGCTAGCAAGAGCAGGGTTCAAGGGGGAGTTTACACCTGCAAGTCCTGGTCCTGGTCCTGGTGCAAGAGACGTGCTTTGGGTGGCGTTAAAACCAGCCAATGTGGGGTTGTACGAAGGAACCGTAGCCGGAAGTGGATTGCCTTGAACAGGATTCAGAGTTTGCCAAAGTTTATATCTATAGTAATCGTGGCCCTCGGCACCAAACAAGAAAGAATACAGAGGATTTTCCTTTTGCTTGTCCTTCATCAATGCTTCAAACTGCGGCCCATTCTTACATGCATATTCTACGAGTTTGTCAATACGTTTCTGCAGATCGTTGTCCGCTGGAGGTTGAACCGGAGCAGGAGGTGGCTCCCAAGGGTTAAAGAAACCTGCTGCTAACCCTAATCCAGGTCCCTGAGGCGGAACCGCAGCAGGAGGAACTGCCACAGACCTAGCTGGACCAGCTGGATATGGATACTGAGGTGCATGGTAAGGAAAAGGAGGAGGAGGGGCATACTGCTGCATTCCATGCATTTGAGCAAGCCCCGCGGGCGGAATCGGAAGAGGAGGCTGCGGCACGTAAGAACGACCATACCCTTGCCCTTGCTCCATTTCCAAAAGCCTCTCACCTACACCACTTTCTCGACGATCCTTAAATTCCCGCACACACTGAACCAGAAATGGTCAAGAACATTCTTCCCGGCCAAACCCCCCGGGGTTGATAAACGCTCAGGAAACACCCTCCAAGTCTGTCTGCACAACAATTCTCACACCTTCCCTACCTCACCTCGAAATCGCTCGTAGTTTCTTGCTCCTTTTAAAAACAGATTCAAGCTTTACGCAACACAAATTTCCATCGTAATAGTAAGGACATCACAACCAGATTAACAAACAAACATTGCTCTGCAATCCTGAATTGCACTTCACAGTTAGTCAAGACGACGGTGAAGTTGACGAAGGCCAGGCACAATGAGACTCGGCGAGCGGCAACAGGGTGCTCTTCTAGTGGCACCCATGCCCATCTCACTATTCTCCGCTTAGGACCCGAGCGTTTCCCTCGTCACGGCTATAGGAAACCCTTTGGTTACACCGTTCACATTAACAAACTATATGACTGAATTCTTATGTTGGTGTGACAATTCAGAGTGTTTGATATTATAGAACGCTAAAATACTTTAAATCCATGATCACAAGATTTGTAAACCCTGAACCCTAAACTTGGTCAATCTTATTATATTCACATTCTGATTTTAAAGTTTGATGTACTTAAATATATTTAAATTGTATATGTATATAGAAGTTAATGATCAGTTAGCAAAAAAACTTCTTATTTTTATGCTCAAAAATTGAAATAACATGTTTATTATTTATTTTTCTTATAAATTATTTCACATATTTGAATAATGCTTTTTTCTAAAAAAATATAAATATAAATAATGTATAAATACAACTGTAGATATTATGTTGAATCTGAGATGAAAAATGCAAGTGGATATCACCCATTTAAATTGAAAATTTTACAATCAATGCTTTAGATCATTCAAAAAAAAACATTCAAAAAAATTTGTTACAATAATCTTAGGTTGTCATATACATATATATATATATATATATATATATAAGCCACACTCTTTTACACAAGTATTTTTTATAGTACCTATTTTTTTTGGAATAAAAAAATATATAATAATTACTAAATAAATAATACTATGAATTTTATTTTTAAATGTTTTAAAATATTTGTAGCTCTTTTAAAATTAATATATTGGGCTTTAGTAGATTTAGTTGCTTTATATTTTGACATAGGAAAAGAGCCAAAAAATACATATTATATTAATGATATATGTGTATCTATTATACAAAACACATTAGGAGGGATATAAATCAATGGAATAAATCATGGAGACAAATTGGTCTTTTGATTGGCTCTCCTAATGAACCTATCTTGAATAAGCTCCAAGCACAATGCAATGGAATAGTCGTTGTTGGAGAGATGAGGTCATTTAGTAATGTACACAATAATGAGGCTTTTTTCCACTGTCTCTCTTAGTGATTACATTATTTACAATATGTTTATAAATTATGGTGTCCCCCTTGCTGCAACTCGAGTCTTACTTGTACTTGGATTTTGAGTTCTATGGGTTTGGGACTTGCACTTTGTCGATTTTCACACAAACGTTGTTTTCCGAGCAACAATCATCTTTATATAAATCTCTATATAAAACATATAATTAAATGATTTAACACGATTTTTGCTATCTTATAGGTAAACTATGGAAATAGTTCATTGAACGAAATAAAATACTTTTTTGCATATTTTTTTATGACAACAACCTGGATTTAACTAATATATATATATATATATATAGAGAGAGAGAGAGAGAGAGAGAGAGAGAGAGAGATATAGAGAGAGAGAAAGAAAGAGAGAGACACATGGTTATTTTTTGTCCTTTCTTCTATTTGGTATTTGTATTAAATTTCTTTGTGCTTAATTTTATTTAAGTAATTGTAGTGCACAATCTATTAGTATTAGAATAAGTTTTATTTTTTTATGCTTTTATTTTATTTTATTCAATAATATTTAAAAAAACTATATTCTAATACTTTGAAGCTGTAATCAAATTCAAATAATAGGGATTTTTTCTATAATTAAAAAAATTGCAATATTAAAAATAATGTGCATTATAAATAATTAAATATTTGTATATGGGACTTGCTTGATAAGAGGACACATAAGGAAATAAGGACAAAGTTTTAACAAATCCATTGTTGTGGCAATGTCTCGGAATACAAAATGCAACAATATTTACAGCATGAACAAAAAATAGTCACGCTTAGTTTTAGCACTATTCACCATGTATTATTGCCTTGTTTATTTTATTACCATTAAAAAAGAAGAATGGTGTACAAAATACCCTTGAAGATCCTCCTGATGTAACCTTAATTTGTCAAAATTATATCAATACCATCTTTGTCATGTTGTTACTTGTGCTCAAACTTTATAATTGAGTTACATTCATTGTGATCTTTATCAAAGAAACCAACATATATTATTTGAATTTTTCATGTGACATTACTTGTCAATGATTTGTTTAGAAATACTATTATTAGTATGTATTGAATATTTTAATTTGAGATTTATCATGAAAATATGTATGTGATTAAACATACTAGTTAAACCAACAATAGATATCCATTTTATTTATTTATTTATTTATTTTTCCTCTAATGAACAATAAATTACTTTAAAAAGCATGGTATCACACCACAAGCATAGTATAGATGCTTTATAAAACATCAACTTGAACTAACCTCCTATAATTTTGTTCCTTAATTATTATTGTGACACAATTAATTCAAAACATCAAGTCGAGCAAACATTAGCCTCTCAACAATGGTAGTTGAGAGGTGCTTCTAAACATATATTATTTCCTACTATTTTGCAAGCTACCACATATAAAATAACAATGCCAATACATAATGAAAACACATGTTATTCAACATACATAAAGAGGTTTTCGACATCAGAGTCATAAATGACAAAATAAATTGTATATATATAACATGAGCAACAATAAATTGTATATATAAATGTTTAGGTTATTGCTTCAAAATTCTGAATGTGCTTCAATAACGTAGAAACACATTGGAAAGACAAACCAAAAACAAGACAAATGTATTGTTTATTGTATATGATTTGCGTTCAATTCAAATGTTCTATATATATATATCAATGATTCAATATTTGAATACAATAGACTTAAGTATATTGTTATTCACTATTTCACACAAGAAAGTCAAATGATCCATTTGTTGAATGAAAAATTCATCAAGAGAATTGATGAAGCACAATAGCTATATATATAATCCATTAAACAAGTATAGATACCATCCATACATTTTTTTTTTCAATCTTCTTCTAAAAGGACTATATATATATATATATATATATATATAGTGTCAAAGGATGTTTTTCCTTTTCTCGAAATGTTTTTTTATAGTTGATATAATAACATGAGTTCTAGATAAAAAGAAACTTTTGTTTTGTTTTTTTTCTTTTCAAAAATATTAAAACCTTAATATTAAATATTTATGTTTTTTAGTTGTTTGTTAAGCTATACATTACAAATGTTATTGTTTATTGCAAGCATATGATTTTCAAAATTTCACAACAAAACTTTTTTTTTTTTTTTTTTTTTTTTTTTTTTTAAATATCTTGCAAAGAAAGAATGACTTCAATGACCAGCGTTCCGTGTTTATCACAATGGTAATTATATTTACTACCCATTGCAGTTTTCGTTAAATATCGGTATAAGTTAGGAAATATCTATCCATATTACAGCCATTACATATAAATACATATAAAGAAGATTTCACAAAACGGAATTTCTTCTCTCTATGTGTGTGTGTGTGTGTGTGTGTATATATCTATATATATAAAAAAATACTATTATTATTTTAGGTACAGTATTTGACCTTCAAACATTAACTTACAAAGTAACTCAGAGCACAAAATGAGATTTTTATATTACCAGGAAGGGGGGCGTGTCTCATATTCATAACATGGATGTATCACGGAACTCCCATAAGACGAATGAAAACATTCATCCACACATCGATTCATCAGGATAGATAACGATACTGGTAGCAGGGTTTCATTCGTCCAATCTCGGGCGGCACGGTCATTCAAGACAGGCTGTCCGCCTGAGCTTTGCAGGGACGGGCTTTGTGGAGATGGCGATGGTGCTCTCGTCGTCGTCGTTTTGCTTCAAGAATTCGTTTTCAGTCCCCTCGGAGCGGCCAGATCACTATTGGTATCCACACAGCATTCTAGCCCCTGAAGTTTGCTTGTCCGTGTGCCCGACCTACACTCCTTGCCAGAGAGCATGACATCACTACTCGGAGGGGAATTAAATCGATTCTTTAGCCATGATTGCGGTTCTACTGCAGCATTGGAGCGAGCTGGTTTCTATTAGTTCTAGGGTTTGTGGGAGGGTTTTAGGGTTAGGCGAAAGGTGAAGGGAGAAAGAGGTGTTAGATGGCGAGGATTAGGATCACATTGCAGGTGTAGTGAAGTGGAGGGAGTTCAGGTGCCAGGGTGGCATTGCTGGGGTTTTTTTTCTAGGGAAACGAAGGGGGTCATGTGGAGCTGCAGGTGCACGAAGTTGTGGAGAGTGAATGTAATAAGCGTTTGAGTTGTGGATGCTGCGGGAGTTGACGATGAATGTGCTATGAAAATGGAGTTTGGAGTTGGTTTATGACGTGCTCTTGAGAGCTGAGGAAGCCTTTGAGGGACGAGGAGATTTGGTAGTAAGTTTGGTCCACTTTCTGCAATGGAGCATGACGAGGATGTTGATGATGAGATTCACGGAGCTGTGGACAGTGCCATGGAGGCTAGGTTTGAGAATCTGAGGTTGATTGGCAAAGGTTCCTTCGGGGATGTTTTCAGTGGGTAAGTTGCGTTCAGGTTTCTGTAATTCATGTCTCCTGCATATTATAGTGCACCTCACCTACGAAAGAAATTTGGCTCTTTATACCTCAGCCTTTTTTCTCATTATGAAATAGGAGTGTCTCCCTGCCTCAGCTATGTATCATCGATGGTCTTGACAGTTTATTGTTTCGAGCTGAATTTCTTGGACCGATGTGAACGGGAATTCACGGGATTATTTGTCCTTTTTGAACCTTAAGCTCTTGAAGTGAAATAGCTTTTTCTTGAAATCAGATTGCTCTCGTCCATGAAGTGTCATAACTCTTTCTTGTATTTTTAATCCTCCATTTCGAGACCCTTTCGCTATTGTAACAAGAACAAGCGTTTAGTTACATTAGGCTTTACGCCGAGATTTTTGTCGCGTTTTCAATCCCCTTGACTTCAAAGAAGAGTTTTATGCAATCGAAGTGGTTAAAGTGCTTAAAATGGGCCTCATGATTCCCAAGTTAGTCATTGTGGACATTTTGGTTCTTTTTCGTGAATTTATTTAATTTATATCTCATTCAGTGTTCCTAAAGTCGTTTGGTAAAACGAATCCACTTTGCATTATGTCATTGAATATGCTATGTCGTATGGCATAAATTTGGCGTACTAAGTGTCCATAATTTCATGGAGTACGTGAGCATGCAGGTCTTCAAGTGGGGGGGTAAAATGTACAAGTTAAGTAGGTCTTATTAAAATTACTCCACATTGGACCCTTCGACTTTTTGGAGTGCTTAGTCATAGTTTGAAATGATGGTTGAATTGTTTATCCGCAGATTTGACAAGGAGTTAAACAAAGAAGTAGCAATTAAAGTCATTGACTTGGAGGAAGCGTAAGTGACGTCTTAACTCTGAATTTATTTTCTGTTGCACGTGTCTTTTTCAAATGCTACCTGTGCTAGCCGATTGGTTTGTGAGGTAATTTGGAAAACTATTTCTTTCTCCAAAGAAGAAGGAAATGCGGTTGTCAATGAAGTCTGACTTTTGGTCTATGCTGTGAAATTTTCCTGTTATCAGAGAGGACGAAGTTGAGGATATTCAGAAGGTTGGTTCTCTGTCCTATTACCTAATAGATTTTAGCTCAGGTCTAGACATCATGTCATCCTGATGGGTATTATCTTGTAGTCCGCAAGGGAGTTGCTTTACAGGAAGTGTGTCTCACAGACCCTCAGCACGTGGACTGATAATCGGACGTCTATACTTTCTGCACAGGAAATCTCTGTACTATCACAGTGCCGGTCACCTCACATCACAGAATATTATGGGTCTTACTTGCACGCAACGAAATTATGGATTGTTATGGAATACATGGCAGGTGGTTCTGTATTAGACTTGGTGAGTTTTAATGAATACCTTGAGCTACTTCTGTTGCTTAAAGAGCTTCGCACTTGTTTTTTGTGCAACATTTTTTGAATAACTTCTCTATTGACAACCTTTCACCTGCCTGAATCGTTTCTTAGGTATATAGTCGCAAACTGATCTGATCAGTGTTGACGAGTTGCTGTAGTTTATTTATTTTATTTTTGAATATTTTTACTCCAGACGCATGTTTCAAGGCTTTGTGTTTTGTGGTCTTACAGCTTGAGACCGGACCACCACTCGATGAAGTTTCTATAGCATGCATTTTACGGGAGCTGTTGCTATCACTTGATTACCTACATTCGGAAGGAAAAATCCATCGCGACATTAAAGGTGCATTGTTGTCTTTTGTACGAAGGCTCCCTGAATTATTCAGTGAACTTGTTTCTGGGCTCTATTTTCCTACCACGTGAGTTGGTCGTAGATATTTTATGTTCTAATTTCTCGCTTCGCCAAGTAGTGGTGATGATAGCCTATTTACCAAAAAAATTAGACACTCATGATGCATTATGGGGATGGTTTGTAACAGCTGCCAACATCCTACTTACGGCTAATGGAGATGTTAAGGTAAGTTCGATTTAATAACAGGGTTTTTTTTTCAGAACAAGGCTGCGATTATTCAAACTATGCTCCTGGGTCCCATGAATCCGAGATTTAGAACCCTCTGTTTCTCACACACGTCATTTGTAATACCACACTTTTGTTTCCTTGATTGGATGTGGATGCAGCCTATAGTCTTCTGCAAAGACATGGTAGAGACCTTGGTTAACCCTTGGATCCGTCACATATTTGATGCATGCACTTGTAGCATGTGGTGAAATGAATGGCAGTTCTGATGGGTGATAGTGCAGGTTGCAGACTTTGGAGTTTCCGCCCAGCTGACACGGACTATGTCCAAACGCAAGGTGAGTTGTCTTTACAACTAAATATGCAGTTTCAATCAGCAGATCACCATCCATGTTTATCTGTGCATAAAAAATGGTTACTTGCAGCATTGAAATCGTATCTGTTATTCTACATCTCAGAGTTGGTTATTTGGCATCAGAATGATCCAATCTGATTGGATGGTGGATATGTTCCTCAGACGTTTGTTGGAACTCCATTCTGGATGGCTCCAGAGGTTATACAGAACTCTGGAGATGGCTACGATGAGAAGGTAATTATTTAGGTTGTATCGACCCTTCGCTTAGAGGAGTACCGACTCTTCTTCTTCCTCTTTTTCTTCTTATTCTTGTCAATACTCCTTCAATAGCTGAAAGCAGTGCGTTTTATTGCAGGCAGATATATGGTCATTGGGAATCACTGCCATTGAAATGGCGAAAGGGGAACCACCTTATGCTGATTTACACCCTATGCGGGTGCTCTTTCTAATTCCCAAGAACAATCCCCCACAGGTTAGAGTTACCGGCGTGCAGTGTTATTAGGCTCAACTGCTAATGAGGGACCTAAAGAGTTAGGTATTTGTGTAATGGACTATGTTTATCATTTCATTTACTCCGCTTAGATTGTGGGGCACAAACATCACCCGCCGGCGCTACGCGTGTTTTTTTATCAAGATTTTTGGTTGCTCCTATACACCTAACTGCTGGGAGTTTGGTTGACTAACGTAGAACATGTGCTTCTATCAAGTGCAGCTAGATGATCATTATTCGCGTCCATTCAAAGAGTTCGTATCTTTTTGTCTCAAGAAGAATCCTGCTGAGGTATGTTAACCTTGAGATCTTTAGACTTGAAATGGAGCATCCATCCGATTGTAATCTGGGATGTTGAGTTCTACACACCGTAGAGGAGGTATTTGGATGGAGTTGAAAACTGAGAGGAGATTCTGAGTATATTTTAGCATATTTTAGATAAGTAGGATTCTTACAAAGAATTAGTTTGTCGCAATTGACCTGGTATTGTTTTCATCGAATCTTATAGATACCACCAGCACTTAATGGATGGAAACAATGGATTTAATCGATGGATTGGTGTAATTCGTAAACCTTTGCCTTAGCTCTTCATATTTGCACATATAACATCTATGAGAGAGAATGTAGAAATAATATTACAGTGCATTGCACAGAGGCCAAGCGCGAAGGAGCTTTTGAGGCATCGATTTGTCAAGAATGCCCGGAAGAGTACCAGGCTTCTTGATAGGATAAGGTTAGGGTTGAATGAATGGCGTCTATACATCACTTATTACATTCCTACTTTTAAAAGTTATGCTCCAATCCTCTAACTTGCTCATTTAACTAGTCTCGCCAATCTAGCTGTAACATGTTTTAGACTGAATGTTCCTGCGATGGTGCAGAGAACGGCCGAAATCGCACATTAGCAAGAGCAAAGACGTACCCAGACCAGCTGAAGCTTTTGAGAATGAGAGTAGCAGTAAGGAAATGGGAGCGAAGGGTGATAATGGTGTCTACCCTCCTCTGAGGTGAGCTGACCAGTTCTTGTTTGATCAGTATACTTGAATTACAACATATGGTTTGATAAAAGAATGAATATTCAGTAGTGGTGAGATTTGCACTTGGACTTCCTTTGTGGTTTTGTTTCTCTCGTTAGCGTAAATGATATAATAATATCTTATTTTCTAATTTCTTGAGACTTGTGTGCGTGTCAGCTCTCGGCGCAAGCCTCTCAGAGATGCCAGTTGGGACTTTGGGACTGGCACTATTCACACTACTGGCACTCTTCGAAGCGGCTCGACGAATTTGTATACAGACCAAGATAGGACTGGCGGGAATGAAAATACCGTACTTTCAGGCAGTGAAGCTTTGCCCAGCCTTCTGAGCAAAGCTGAACTTGATTATCAAATTGATGCCGGACTCAGGGATGCCAGTATGGATGGGAATGGGTTTCGTAGGAATAGCTTCGGTATTCAAAGAAAATTAGATACTGAACAGTACTCTCCGAGTGACTATGTAAGTTTTCTCGAAGCGATCCCCAGTACGTAGCTTTTTGGGTCCCCTGACGTAACAATTGCTCGTTGTCCTATTGCACTGAGTTTCGGCATGTCATGTTCTTGAGTCTAGAACATTGATTACTATCACGATATTTTGTTGATGCAGATTAAAGTTTCTTTTCAGCTTTGCATTACTTGAATACATTCAACAGATAAGACTGGCTTGGCATTCGCGGCATACAAATGTTTAAGTCTTTTATTTTCTTGAGTTGATGTGTTGTCTTAAGCTGATTAGCTAACCCAGGGTTTTTTCTATTTATTCGCAGGGGTCCTATGCAAGCGCCAGTGGCACTGTGAAGGCCGCGTCTACCCTAGAACGACCCTCTCTGAAGTCTTTGTCGACCTCCTTGGTAATCTTTTGCTTTTGGTCTTCGCTGGATGCACTCACTGACATGCCATGCCACTCTGGTATCTCTAGTGAGTTCTATATCCGTCTATTTCATTCACCTGAATTGTTTAATGTGGTAATATGAACTAACATCTTCACTTGTAGGCTAACACTGGAGGTAATCGTAATGAAGAGGCCTCTGAAATTTTTGCAAGCGGGACTATAGTACGAAGCAGCACGCCCGACGAGGGGGGCTCTGTTCCAGGAACTCCGAAGGCTAAGCAAGAACCTCGAGAAGACAGTGCAACAAATCTTGCCGAGGTTCTATTTCATCTCATGTCCTGGACTTAAGAAGTTCTTTCTCGATGCCGCTGGTTTTTGACGCGGAATTGTTTTTATCTAAGGAGATACTCGCGTCTTTATCTTATATTTTACATTTTCCAATACCTTTTGGACTTGTGTTTTGTCTGAATATCGTATCATCTTGTCTTTGGTCATTTGTGTCCAGAACAGCACGTTCTAGGTATTTATTTCAACGTAACCTTGCTTTTTTGCAGGCAAAAGCTGCCCTTCAGGCCGGAATGAGAAAAGGAGGGCCAAGGGGCCCTGCGCCTGTGAAATTACGAAAGGAGGCATTGGAGTACGCAAGGTTGGTGCTTCGTTTTCCGTGACTCTGTTTTTGCACCTTGGCAGCAGTTGCTTGAAATGTCTACATACAACCCTTTTATTAGCCTGCAATTCTGTTTCCATTTTCACGCGTATATCTGCGCTAGTTTAAGGCTCACTTTCATGCCTGACCTTCTCAAGTTTTTGGTGCAGTGACCCTCGAGAGACTCCTCGAGAAACCCCTAAAGCAACACCGCGGGCAAGTGCACGGGCTAGTGAGGAGGATGTTGCTCGAGCAGCTGCAGCTGGTGCATCTGCTGCCTTGGCTCTACTTTTAATCCCTGCTCTTAAGGAGGTAATTTCTATGCTCTTTTGTTTTTTACATAGATAGGTGGTGAGTCTGTTTTTATATGGTTGTAGCAAAGTCTACTGTTAATTGTTCACATCAATGAATGCAGACCGCAGCGGAGCAGTCAGAAGGGCCTGCCTTAAGGGCTGCAGCTGATGCAGCCGACGCTTTGATGGATTTGGAGCGGCTGGCGCCAGGTGCTTGTGAAGTTCTCGTTAGCAAACTGTTACGACAATTAGCAAGGTATTTAACGCTGTTAATTGTTTCATGCTTTCGATTTCAGGACGAGTGCTGATCGAGCCTATGTTGATTCATGCCGATGTATCAGTTGTTTCATGAAAATGTTTTTGTCGTGTCTTCAAGCGTTAGTCATCATTGATCTATTATGACCATGTACAGCTTCCTACAGTTTTGTAATGTCGGTGATGTAGGAATTTGTGGTCCACGATTCCTGTAGGCGTAATTTATGTTACTGTGTGAAGAAAATGTTCCTCCGAAGTATTGAGTGTAACGTATTTTCCAGGAAGGACCAAGCTCCCGTGAAAGGTTTGCAGAATCTGGCGCGCCGGCTGCTGTCTTCGTCAGATAATGGCAGTGAAGTTGGGCATATCCCATCTTCACGCGATCAGCCTGGGAATGTCAGACACAGATTTCAGAGGGACAAAACTGATGATTCGGGTTTGAGTCCAGTGGCTTCATTCTTACTTCACAGGTTCGTCTTGTCTCTGGCTTTTGTACCCTTTTCGCTTTTTTTTCTGACACGATGTCCACATCTCAAGACAGCATCCTGCTGCCAATTCTTTTTCCTGGACTTATAGTCGCACATTCTCTTCAGTTTGATTGGGTGTATATGCTTTTGGTTTTGGTATTTTTTTTCACGCTTATTATATTTCTTCGTAACTCTTTATAGGGTTGTAGTTTCTCTCAAGTTCTCGTGGTTTTTTATCCTTTAGTTATCATTGAATTGATATAGTGATAGAATGGCCTAGCGCTGTCAGCAGTAATGTCGTTATAAGATTTCTCCTTGACGAACTCAATTCTAAAGATTTTAGTCGTATAGCATCTTGCCGTTTTGGTATTTCGTTTTGCTTACACAACCGCGTGTTTGTGCAGGTGGCAAAATCAAGTCGCAAAAGACCTTAACGCACGTCGCTAGAATTTCATCTGCAAAGTCTAGTCAAGGTACCATCCGTACCGTGACGGAGGCATACTTTCCTCGGGGTCCACTTGGTACTACCTCAGGGTTTGTTATCTCAGGACTCTACTGCTAGCAAATTTTGCTGTGGTCCTATGTATTTCGTGAGTGTTTGTAAAAAATGTAATTCTAAACTACCAACAACGTTCACAACGATTCATGACATCTCATTTTGGCGTGTCTACAGTGACACGGTTGAAGAATTTGCTTCTATTCATTTCCCCTCGTTGACAAGTCTGCGGGCACTCTTGTGAGATTCACTTAGATATGGATATCCGATGTAAAAGGCTTGGAAGTGGCTCCTTCTCTGTCCTTGTTAGCCACGGCATTTTGATTCTATGAAAATCAAGAGTTATGGTCCAGGAATACTCTTCGCAGTTTGGATGCAGTTGCATATGGGCTCTCGATTAAATGGGATTGACCGAAGTATCGGTGCAACCACAGCAACTGCGTGCCCTCCTGTTTTTTTCCTCCTTTTTTTGTAAGCGGTATTATGAAGTGCACTTTCACTCTACATGTAGCCAGTACCACGGCATTCCAGTGAACTCAAAAAAGGTGATTTTCATGTTCTCACTTGCAGCTATAAAGCACAAGCGGGAGGAATGCAAACAGGACATGCCATGAGCACATGCCTGGATCCATGATCACCAGCGCCCTAAGTGATGCGATGTGTGAGATACCAGACCTCTAAATCCACATGTATATTATGGCCCCAGATACAAAAACCACGTATTTTCAGCACGTGTGTTGCCTTCTCGGTGTGAAAAAGCCCCATAATCTGTCATTCTGCCTCCAGAGCAGTGACTGGACCTCCATACTTACACTGACCCTTTCATGGGACACTTAGCTGGCTTATAGGAGAAGGGAAGCCAGGCCAGGCCGGGCACAAAGAAGCCTAGTACCTGGGGTACTGTTGCTTCTAGGGTTCGGAACTCATGGCTGAACAGAATTGTGTTTTCTGCAATAAAGTTTATGTGCTGCTGCTTTGCATATTGTTGTCCTTGCGCACTTGGATCCATGCTGGGACTCTATGGCCACCGGCCCTCCCCTGTCGTCGTTTCACTAGGCTCTGCTGTACTTGTGGATGAAATTTATTTTTTTGGACTTTTGGCATCGTGGTTCTTCACGAAATTGAAGTTAAAATACTAGTTGAGCTGTCACGATAGTTTTTGATATTAGTGCCTTAACTTGCATTAGAATTGAGATTATGAGATATGATAGTTAGAAGAGTCTAAATTATAAGTTGCACTTTTGCAAGTGATTGATTGTCTTAGAAAGTGAACAAATCAATGAATTAAAGTTTTAGTTTTGAACTGCTTGAATGGATTTTGTATCTTGATTGAATTGTCTCAAAGTAGGATCGATAATGTGTAATTCAAGTTTTACTATTAATGGCAAGTGTTTTGTACATTTTGATTTTGAATGTCCATCATTGTGAAAGTATTGTAAAACTCGAACCATAAAATAGAAACTATATTTTGAGGTGATTTAGGAAAGATTTCTAATTAATTTGTTGTATGGCAAATGCTTATGAGTTGTGATAAACTTCTGATGTGTACAATTACTTTTTACAGTGTACATTCTGAGCTTTTTGAAATTGGTTTACAGTCTTGTTGATGGCTCTATTTTTTTTTATTGATGTCTCACAAATTAGTCATTCTATTTATAGACTCTTAATTAATTATGGTTTTAGAATTTTCATGTCTGCTCATCCTTTGAGAAGATTTTATCATTTTGCTTTTAACATTTGAAAATAGATGGTCTTAAAAAAATTGGTGGCTTGAGTGATTTAAAATTAAGATGTGTTTTGCAAATACTTTTTAAATATGCACATGTATGAATATATCTATATATCTAATGATGAATCAATGCCTGTCAAATACATATAATTATAAGAACAATTTTCTGAATCAAAATTCAAAAATCCATTTTATGATGCTTACAAGTTTATCATAATGGCCATTGAACAAATTACAATTGATTAACAAATACAGGTTTTGAAACATTTCAGAAACTCAAGAAATATTCATTTCTGTTTTATATTAAAACCAACACACAACTTTAATATCAAATACATTGTGTAGTGATGTATTCATTCTGTGTCAGACATGTTATATTGGAAGCTCATAAAAAAAACATATATTTACTTATTTAATGGAATAAAAAAATAATAAAAATCATAGTTGTTACTCAATTTAACTTTGAGTAATAATTTCAAAATGTGTGTTATGAAATATTCTAGTAAATTACAACTAACAAGTTGACAAAGTTTCAACATGTAAGACCACTGAAACGAATCATTGGTTCAGATCAATACCGAAAAATATTATATATATATATATATATATATACATACACACTCACACAAAAACAATACTTGTTCTACGAACACAGATTTGATTTTAATATCTTCACACCTTCCCGTTATTGATTTTGTTTTAAATCAATATGCCTTTAGTGTCAGATACAAATATCTATAAAAAAAAAAGAACAAAATTAAAAAAAAAATGTATCATGGTTTGAAAAACCTGAATAATATTCTCAAATATCATTATAAAATTTAGATAAAATTGTCATTTAAAAAAATCGACATATCATCAAAAATTGCTTAGTAATTTTAATTCAGTTTGATGTTTAACAATAAATATCACATGCAACCTTTGTCAGCTCAATTTATGGTATCAGAAGTTAGACAAAACAATTCAGTTATTCCCAATAACAACTAATCCAAATTCTTAAATATGAGATATTCACTTGTTAATTTGTCATTTTTAGTTGGAGGCTTGTTTGTAATTACTTCAGTTCAAATTATAATGAGGTGATAACATGTGATTATTTGGTTTTAATATGTAAGTATGCATATGTGGACATATATATATATATATATATATATATATAATCAAGTAATATGAATTTCAAATTATTAAAAAGGTGCACATAATAATTTCATAAACTATTGCAGTAAGCAAAAATTGCTGTACATGTTGTTAAAATGCATGCAAAATGCATTTTCAAATATCTTGTTTAACATTTTTTGAAGTGAGACAAACACTGCACTTAAAGGAAAGTATCATGGTGGATTTTCAAATAGTTTTATTTTAATATAACTGAGCACACCAGGAATATGGATAGTTATGCTGATTTGGGTAAGAATATTAATAAATAATCATTAATAAAGGATGCAAGAAGTAAAATCATAAATTTATGCATGAAAATTAATATTATGACATGTTTTCTTTCATTATATATGTACAAATATATGATACTTTTTAAAAACATTACAATGTGACAAAAATAATATATAAAATACAAAGAAAAAACCATATTGTTTGTTATTTTGCAAGTTAATTGTTTAAATTATTATTATTATTATTATTACTATTCTAATTTCACAATTTAATGGTGAGGAGATGAATACTAGGATCTAACATGCAAACACTGTCAACAAAGAGAATGTATGCATGGCTACATATACATTTATGTATATATATATATATATATTCCCATGTATTCAAGGAAATCCCACTATTCAGAAAGTTTTATTTTTGATTGAGTGTTTCTTTACAAACGTCACTTAAATCTGTTGATAGTCTTAAACACAGAAAGACAGTCTTCTGAAACATTATTCAGATGTGATGTTTTTTACCATGTGTTTCAAATTCTTGTTTTGAACAACAATAAAAACATACAACCACATTTCAAAAGCATGGCATGATGTCAATTCAATAAAACCAAAAAAAAAAGAAAAAAAAAAGTTGGTTCATCAAAACCGATCACATGAAGTTCTGTGTGAATTTGAAAAACATAGGAAATTGTAAATACGAAATAGAAGGATTATTATACAATTTTGTTTGATTATTTTAACCATGGGAATGAGTGATGTAGATGTCACAAACTTTGTGTGTGGATTGAATAGTCAAGCTTTGAAGTGGTCAAGTGACCATAAAGTCACACATATTTTATTATTCAACCTCCATCTTTCCCACAAATATTTACACATAATAAAAAATAATACTCAAAATCACTTAGTAATGCATGCCATCAGAGTGTCCGCCCACACGAAATAGAAACCCCATGACACGTCGGTTCCCACGTGGACTTACACGTGGCACCACGTGGCTAGCGGGGGAGCGATCGACCCGTTGTTGAGGGTGAGGTCGGCTGCACCCACTTCCATGCCCCGATTCCAGCTCAGCGCGACACGTCAAACTGCAGGTGCCTTTCGCCGAGCGAGCTGGATGCTTCTTACTGACCCATGCGAGCTCGTGAATGCTGACCTGGCTGGAGTCATGGCCGCCAGGTGTGGGTCGGTATTGGCGCGCCATCGGCTCGGAATTAGGGTGATTATGAGCTTCGGGGGAGGAGGGTTCCCAACCCACCCACCCCAGCACACCCTAAATCCGGTGATAGAGAAAAGTGGGCTAATTGTGGGCATTAATATTGACGTCCATTAATTAATATTTGCCACCTGGACCCACGGAAGTAATGGACACATGGGACCGACAAGCTGAGTTGGCAGATGCGTGTCCACCTGAACCCAATTCCTTCTCCCCCTCCCTCTCTCCTTTTTTTTTGTTGTTAGTGGGTAGGGTTGTGGGGATGGGGATGCATGAGGCACACATATTATTATTATGGTTCTATTGGGGGTGGGGGTGGCCCTAATACTACGATTACTACTACTACTACTCCTTTGGGAAATTGATTTATTTTGTCAGGGCTCCCTTCCTCTTTCCCCTCTTATTTGGTGCCCCACAATTGAGAATAGTCTTGGAGCTCACAAAAGGGGGACGAGAGGGGGAGGGGTTAGTTGGGTCCATAAGGTGGTGGGTTTCCATCCCCATATTATTATAGTACTAATAATACAAGCTAACAAACAAATAAAGAAATAAAAGTGATGATGAAGAACCACCCAAGGAAATGCTGGAGTTTGTAAATATTTGTTGATCTTGTAAACATTTTATGTTTCTTTTCATATATATATATATATATATATATATATATAGTGATGAATATGCTTTAATTTTCTTTAACTCTTTTAGACACTAAGGGTTCATAGCTGTTGTGATAACATTTATACATTTGACAATTTGGGGGTTTAAGGGATTGATTGCATTGCAAATACTTAAGATATTTTTAATTCACTTTTTTTTTAAACAAATTAAATTGACATCACACAAAATTGCATTAATGTTTGTGTGTTCATTGAATTCATTTCTCACTATTAAATTAACATATGAATATTTATTTATTTATTTTATCATGGAGTGAAAACACACAAGCTGAAACACATTTATTCAATGTATATAGAGTGTGATACATGTTCAATTTTTTGGATGCTCTAAATTTTTTAAAGTGAGCATGGTTACTCAAAAACCTAAATGTGGATGTACAAATCTAATAAACCATGTATATGTAAACTTCTAATCAATTTATTACTTAATCCTGATACTATTTTGTCTCCATACATAAACATAATTGCCTTCTTAAATCAACTTACAATGAACATAACCAAAATGAGATGCATTATAACCACACAAAAGAAAATGCTATAAATTTCTAAACACAAAGAAGAATTAAAGATTAAATCTCCTTCTCCTTGTCACAAAGCAAAGTTCATCCAAACATAAAAGCCAAAAAGATGGCATATTTTCAAAGTAATTTTTTATTTTTATAAATGCGTATCAAATATCCAAAATAATTGTAAACATAGATTGGATTTTCAACAAAAGAGAGTTTAATTGTTGGTATATTATATTTGAAAGTTTCTATCTCCAAGGCCATGAGCACAACCCAAGTGAGATTGAATCTATTAGTAATGAAAGCTTAGAAAAAACGGCTCAAAGTTGACATATAGGTTTGGTGGAAGTGTGAGTCCATATTGCTTATACCATGGGACAAATGAAATGGATGGATGAAATTTGAAAATGGATGGATGAGATTTGAAATGGATGAATGAATGTAGAGTGTGGGTGCCAACTTTGGATTGGGATCAAAGTAGCGCTTTGAAAGACAATTTCTATGGTTGAGATTGTCCTTCAATCACACAAGCAAGCATTCATGAAAGGAAGGCAAAGGAAAGGAAAAACAAATAAAAAAAAAAAAAAAAAAAAAAACAAAACAAAACAAAACAAAAAGGGGAAAGAAGCAAAAGAAAGGGAGTACATGGTGGTTCAGAAGCTGCTTCAGTGCTGACTCTCTCTCCTTATCTTTTTTCTTTTTTTCTTTATGAATGTGTGAACCACCCAATTCAATTAACCACTTTAGGGTGATAGAAATAAAAAAAAAAGAAAAAAAAAAAAAAAAAAAAAGTGAATGAACTATTTGTGCAAATTCATGAGAATACATACCCATAATCATACAAATGTGGTTCCAAGTTTTGGTTCACTTTGCTCTAATTATTAGCCTCCAATTATTTTATTTTATTTTTATTTTATTGCATTTTAGTTTATTTTTGGCATGACTTTTTGTTAGTACATTTGAGGGGACAATAAATGAAGGAGGCTTTCTTCAATCTCAATCATCGGATAGATTGTTGGAGCCCACATCAATTGTGTAGTAATCTGAGCATAAAGGGCAAAGGGAAGTGCCTCACATTGAGCTCAAAGTGAATTGTGTTTCATTTTGACTTGTTTGGAGTTATGACATGGAATGTTTTATTTTCCTTTAAGAACTCTACAGCGGTGCTTGGTTTTGCACTTCATGATGTTGAACTTTATGGTTGTATTACTATTGGTGGAATGTTGTTGTATTGAAATGACTATTGAATTAAAATTAGATTGAAGTAGCAGCATTCATTCAAACATGTTTGTGTGTATATATACTTAAAGAATATTTTAATTTATTTTATATTCCAAATTTAATTTTTTCTTAATCTCTTACAGTATTGATGATATTTTTAATTTTTTTACAAGTTTTAAAATTTTCAACTAACATTTTTTATAATTATTTTTGTTATGATTTCTATCATTGTGTATTCAATAAATTTATTACTTAAAATTACAAAAAAATGGTTGCATTAGTGAAATACAAGAGAAATTAGATGGACTAAAAATAATAGTAATATTTATATATTCCATCAAAAATAAAATTTTAAGATCTTCTAAAAGTCAAATAATTTCTTTACTTGCAATGATTAAAATTTTAGATTTTATATTTTTAGATTTTTATTATGTCTATCATCTTAATATTGATTGTGGAGGATTTATTGATTTATTGATTTATTTTTATTATCTCTGTTCTTTGTAAAAGAAACCTAGTCTGTATAGTTTTGTGCTCTTTACGTATTTTATTATTGGAAAGTATACCATTTATGACTGTTATTAAAATTTTTAGATGTTTCTAATTAAAATTTATTTTTTAAAATTTCATTTCATTTCTTGTGGAGTCTATATAAAATTTTGCTATTGTCAACACAATTTGCCATCTACAACATATCACCATAGTTTTTGCTATTGTTACAACAATTTGCCACCTATTTGATATGTTTTATTCACTTTATTAGTTTTTAATTTAATTTAATTTTAGGTGAATTTAAAATATGAATATATATATATATATATATATATATATATCTATAAAAAAGAGATTTTTAAATTTGAATAATAAAATAAAACTAATGAATAGATAATTCAGATAATAAATAGTGAAACAAATTCACGGTATTTAGATATTTTTCATTATTTACTTAGTTTCTCAAATAATATACATATGTATAAATAATAATAATTTATTAATTTATATTAATAACACATACTTTTATAAAAGAATAGAGTTTGTGTATAATCTTTAATTAGATTATATTTTTAATTTAATTTAATTTAATTAATTAAATCCTCTTTATTACATGTATTTTGTAAATCACAATTAATATAATGTTCGAAGTCCCTTCTCTAACACAATCAAAATATTACAGCTCATAAACCAATATGATATGGTTTCGTGGTATTCAGTTTATATTTATGTATGTATATATATATATATATATATATATATATTGCACAAAATATAAAAACTATTCACATCCTTAATTTTGTCTTGTAATTCTTGGTTCATAGGTGTATAATGTTTAGCTACAAATTTTTAATTTGATGCATGGATATGTTATACTAATTCCCTATATAAACTATTCTGATTTTTGATTTTTTATTATACCATAGTTAGTAGAGTCATAATGGCAGCATTCATTCAGGTATAACATTGCTTGTTATATTCGGTGCCACAAAAAGAATCAATAATTCAAACATTATTTGATGGAGCATAGTTGTAGAAATTTTGTGTGTGTGTATTTATTTATATACATTTCTTCATTTTTGTAAGGAAAAAAAAATTTAGAATCAGAGGTAATTCATTATTATTATTATTATTATTATTATTACATTTTAATAATATACTAAAATGAATTGAGTTTCAATGAAAAAGAAACCTATTTTATAACTATGTTCTTTTAATCAAATGTACTCACTGTTGCAAGTGCACATTTATCAAAGAAAAAAAAATGCAGAGAATTTAGAAAAATGTTGTACGTACATACATATTATTTTCTATCTACTACATCTATATTTATGATATGTTGTACAAAAAAATTGAAAGAGTTGGCATTTTGTTCAAAGAAATCACAACTTTATAGTAATAAATAAATATTATATTATTTTATTTTAAATGTTTAAATTCACATTCAATTCTTTAATATGTTTAAACATCAAGAAAGAAATATGTGTAGGGCATATATTTTACAGCGACCAGAATTTTGAAGCTCTTTCGAAAAATGCATTGTGTAGTATCATATATTGAACATAAGTTGTAATAGTAGGCATGTATTTTTCACTGGATAATTTGACACCATATATTTTAAAAAATTGTACTGGTTATACAGACAGAGCTTAGTATGGATTAAAGGCTATGATAAAATGAAGTGCTATAAATTCTAACAATGCTAATTTGGTCCTTGATAGTTACTCCATTACAATAGCAAATTAGTACATTTAATTGACAACAAGAGTAAAGATTATTCATTTTTTTTTTTTGTAAATTCATTTGTAAGTTAAAAATACTTATAGTTAAGGTTGCCTGCCTGCCAAATTTCATCAATTTTTTTTCCTAATACTCAATGAAACTTTAAAATATTTCACTTTCATTAGGGTTTCTAAGTTTTTTATTTTTTAATATATTGAAATTGATAATAATGAGATTGTAATGACTTCAGATGCAATTTCTTTTCATCAAGTCTAATGTAAAGTTTATTTAAAATAAATAAAAAAAGCGATTCAATAGTAAATGCTTAAAGTCGCCTTGTCTCTGAAAAATGTAGTGGCCAAATACATAATGAAATATCTACTCATCAATCATGTGTCATATCATAGTAAATTTTTTGCTTGTATTGGATATTATTTAATTCTGAAATAAAATAAATAAGCACATGATAATGAATTAGTGTAATCTATTTTGTACATTAGCATGGCATGCTAGAAAAAATTGATGATTGTGATGAAAATGGAAGTTGAAATTACTTCAAGAAATATGATTCATTTTTGGGTTGTTGTGGTATTATGTTCATTGAATCTTACGTCATCAGAGGCATTGATTTATAAACTACATAGATTTTAAAATATAAATTTAAAATATAAATAAAAAGTCTTCTGTCATTTATCATTATTAAAACCCAATTGTTCAAAATTGTAGAAAAGATTGAATAAATTACTGGAAAAAACCTTGTGAATGCTCTCATGGAAAAGTGTTTTTATTTTATTTTCTTACTGAAATATCCATCACATAACGTGGAATTTAATAATAGGAATGTTATTTATTTATTTATTTATCTATTTACTTGTTTTGGGTGAAGGGGGGGGGGTGGGGTCAGCCAAAGCTCCTTTTGCTCCGCTTTAAGTCCATGTAGGAGTAAAGACTCTTATGAAAGAAGACGGCTTCGTTGAGAAGAGCCCATTTGGCTCATTCAGCATATATTGTAATAAGAATAATAATAATACTAACAGTAATAATAGTATTTATCTATCAGGTTAGACCAAACGGAGACCTGGAGGAGGAATTAGAACTTGGTTGCCAAGCATCATCAATCATGTATAATAAAATCCCGTTTCACGTATTAATAGACTCAGATAGAGTTAGTTGTATATGCTTTCTGCTACAGGAGGAGGAGGAGGAATAGAAGCCCGACAGACGAGGAAGGAAGCAAGGCAGGCGTGTGATCCCTGCGGGGGGGCCTCCTTCACTGGAGCCTTCAGCGACACGCCAAACCAAACACAAGGAATATGAAGGAAGAAGCCTTTTGTCTGCTGAATGATGAAGCCGGCGCAGATTCTGAGCCATAACCACCGAACAGTCACCATGAACAGAAGGAGAAGGAGGAGCCCCGTTCCAGAACAACAAATAAATAAATAAATAAATAATAAAGAAGCGGTCAGAATCGTCTCCCCCGTGCGCCATCCAATGCCGCGCTCCGAGGTGGAATAGGTGTGCGCCCTATAAGCGAAGGAGAATGAATATTCGATGTAATTAGCCTTCCCCCCTGGGGGCCAATTGTAGGGAAATAAACGGTTTTTCTCTCTCCCCATTCTTTAATGGAAATATTGTGTCCGTTCGTTTGCTCAGAGCGGCACGAATGCGGAAAAGATACGCTGTCCCGGCCTCGGGATGGGGGAAGAAGCTATAAATATAGCGCCAAATGGGGGGGGACTGTGGAAAGAAATGGGGAGGATTCGGAAAGAAATGGGTTGGGCGGCGGGGAGGGCGGCAGGAGGAGGAGGGAGGAGGAGCCAGCCAGCGAGCTAGCTTAGGAGGCGGAGGGTGTGTCCGAAGCATGCATCCAACACGGGATGACGATGGCGGAGCGGGCAATCGAGCCCAATCAAATCATGCCCCCCTCTCGTTTGCGTTTCCCGGCGGCACACATACCCTGGTTTGGTTTTGTCTCGATCCGAAGCTTTCCCAGCACACTTCTTTTCGATGGCATTTTTGTAGAACAATAGCAAAAGCCGTGTAGCGGTAGTAGTAGTCTTTACGTTCTGCAAGGAGTTGTTTCTTGGGGTTGTACAGTCGCGGGGTGAGATCAAAAGAGAGAAAAAATAAAAATAAGGCTCGGGTAGACGAGTTTGCTCTAAGTTGCGTTGCGTTTGTGTTGCCTTGAGGTGCGTGCTTTGGGGGGTGCCCGTACGCAACCCTTTCCCCTGGGTTTAGTTTTGATGAGACAATTCTTGGTGCAAGCGGGGTAGGGGGTGGGAGAGAGAAGGAGTTTTTTTAATGCCGTGGGTGAGATTCCTCGGAGTTCGTTTGAAACGGTCTTTGGACGTCGTCAGTGGCCTTATGGATGATCAGCTATTCTAGTTGTCAGGTGGGATAATTCTGGCGAATGTCTGCGAGGGATTAGTGGCAGGGTGTGTGTTGTGCCGTGGGTGCCCTTGGGTAGGGGTGGCGGTGGTAGTCCGAGGAGTGTGATAAGGCTTCATGTTCGAAGCTACTACTGCTGTAGCCTCCATCCGGAGTTGGTGGATTCCTCGTTGAAGGTTAGTTTCAGGATTGTTTCTTCTAGCAACTAGTGGCGGTCGTAGTACATGTTTCGATTCTGAAACCAGAGTGTACGTGTTGGATGTTGGTGGTTTTGACTTTTTGTTTGATTCTAGGTGGCTAGGGTGTTTTCAATTCTTTATAATTTTTTATACTTTTGATTTTATTGGTCAGCTTCTCTCTTAGTATCATGATGTGCGAAGTGATCCTTTGTACTTGATATTGGCTCTGCTGGAGTTCTTGCTGAGGTTGAGGCTTGGATGGAGTGGGTCACCCTCTTGTGTGAGGTTAGGGGTGCTTGTAACTATGCAAGCGGGTGACATCGACGCTCTGGTTGTCCATTAGTTACAGCGGCTGCTTCTTTTCTACACTGTTACAGTCCTACTACCTTTGAGGGTGTAGATGGAAGCATGTTTTGGCACGTTTGATTGTGATGCAGTGGATAAGGAGTATTTTCCCTGCGTCTTGACGTTTTTCGCCAGTTTCCTATGGAAGTATTTGTCGTGGTTATATAGCGGCTATGGTTTCATTTTTTATACTAAGAGTTTAGGTGATTGCTCTCTTACTAGCAAGGTGGTAGCGAAACTCGAATTAGTTTGAATGATGCACCTTATCACCTACTCGTTGAACCAATTTTGCTAGGTTCTCTTGATGGCCTTTTTAGTGCATTCTGAGGTGGTAGACACCGGTATGGATGTCAAAGAATTGTGCCCCTCCAGTGTCTGAGATGAGGTCATCTGTTCCTTCGGGGAAACTATGTGTAGATACCGTGTGTTGGACACAAGGTTGTGTACTTTTGTTGCGTTCTTACAAAGTTGCAGACTAGTCTAGGTTGCGCGAGTGTTTGAGTGGGTGGACTCTCACAACATCATTCCTTCTGGTTTCATCTCCGCCTCCGCTGTAATACGAGCGGGTTTTCGTGTCTTTGTGTGTGAAGTCTTCGTGATGAAGTCTTGAACGCTTACTACTCATTCCTCTGTCCTTGACATTTAGGGATAGTGGTTTAGTAATGCGTGTGTCAGAAGTCGGAATTCGTACATCTAATTCACTTGGGTTAAATGTTTGTGCAGGTTTGACTCGTTTTGTTTGAATATCATTCAACATCGATTGTGCTGCCAATCGAAATTTACCTGAAACCAAGAGTAAAGAGGTTGTGGTATAATCCACAGGGATTTTAAGACTGGAGACTTTGTTATTGGACGGGAGTATCATTCTACTAAGATTTTAAACATTTTTCTTTTTTCTTTTTTCTTGGCCAGAGGCGTCAATCTGATGACCCTAGAGGGCCTGAGTATGCTTTCTTGTCTCTCATATATAAGTGGCTGAGGTGACCATGACTGCAGCAGATCAGGATCCTGTGATTAGAAGGATATCCTTGGGCCATTACATGAGGTGAGGCAACCTAGTTTAGAGCCATTGCAACTGATATTTGAATTTGTTTCTGGTCTGAGAGGATCCTAATTTCTTTTGTAATCCTTGCTGCTTCACCTTTTAGAGATCGTACTCATATCAATGGCAAATCTGTTATGGCAATGACAGGAAGTCACTGATCACCCGCATACATCTCAGCGATTAATTTGCCATGGCAGACATTGGTACGCTTGGGACTTTTTCCTGTATGTGCAAGCTATTTGCAGTTTAGTATGATGTGCGGTGTATTCGTTGACTAGTTCAATAGGATGGCCCTCGTCTCTGAAGTACTGTGGTTTTGGCTACAAGCAGAGCTGCAGAGATCAGGGGGGAAGATGGATACTTGTCCCGTTCCTCGGAGACCTAACCAGTCGGCCGGATTTATCGACAGCCCACGCTCTGCGGGAAGTCCTCGGCCTCTCCGGCCTCCCATCCAGACTTCCGGTTTCGCTGATAGTCCACGCTTTGTAGGAAGTCCTCGGTCTCTGCGGAGCTCCATTCAGACTTCAGGGTTCGCTGACAGCCCACGCTCTGTAGGAAGTCCTCAGTCCCTGCAAAGTCCTAGATTTTCATCGGGCCCTGGTTTCAGCAAGCCTCCGCAGGTACGCTTTGTCATGTCATCGTCATGAACACTGACCAACTCATTATATTGATGAGTCTCTTTTCAGATTGTAGATGCCAGGCTGAAGCTCTGTATTTTTTATTTTTATTTATTTATTTTTTGTATTTTTATTTTCAGCGCTTACTAGGTCGAAAGGGTTTAAGTTAACAGCTGCGATGGTCTCGTAGCTTCACGCCTGTGAGGCGTTTTAGGAGCAATGTTTTTATGGAGTTTTAAAATCTGAGGTCTCGTCTTGTGCAGCTTCATGCTCAGATGTGCGCGACTTTAGCTGCACTTGTGAAGCGTATGCTAGCTATTGGACATTCTTTGGATTCTGAGCGAGGAAGATTTCGTAAAGCAGGAATTCAGGCACTTTGTACATTGCAGCTGGCTTTGGACAAGGCTCGATCACTCCTACAGTACTGTTCTGATTCCAGCAAGCTCTACTTGGTATGTTTGTCTTATTGCTTAGGCAATCACGTGATATCTTGTTCGTATCGAGGCTTCTGCTCCCTCCGGATACATTCACTACCGTCACACCTCAGTAATCAAGTGATTGGTATTACTGCCCTTACAAGCAAGCCTGCTCTTAAATCCTCTACTTTCAGTTTATGCTTCTCCGTTGTGTGGATCCTGAGAGTGTTAAATCTTCAACTGATGTTCTATGCAGGCCATCAAAGGCGAATCCATGTTGACGCGGTTTGAAGAGGTTAAAGAAAGTCTTGAGACTATTCTTCGACGAATTGTCGTCCTGGTCTCGCAAGATCTTGCCTGTCAGGTTTGTGCCTGCAGACATCTCGCAATCATCCTAGAGTGGAGTAAGGAATGCAGTGAGAGCCACCAAAATCGGCGTAGTACAATGCTTTGCAGGTTAAGCAACTATAATGAGCAATTTCACTGCGTGCATTGCACCGCATGCTCCGAAGACAATATTTACGTGTTCCTCATTTTTTGCTCGTCTGCGAGCAAGAGTGATTGCCTCTTTCCGACCATTTTTTCTGATCTTCTTTAGGCCTCCACGCTGTGCTTTATTCTGCAGCACGTGATTTAAGAGTCTATGTAGGTTTCGCGATATTTGTTTCACCAAATATTAGTAAAGAATAATTGTTTAAGTACTGCGTTCGCTTAGAAGCAGCAAAGCAAATTATGTGTGTTTGCTTTATGTTCAGATTGGTGAGCTTCAAGCTGAGCTGAGTCGAACAAAATTCCAACTGGACCCTGAGGAGAAACAGATAGGGGCTGATATCATATCCTTGCTGCTTCAGAAGCAGAAGGGTTCCCAGTATGAGAATCCTGAAGCTGAGGAAGAAACTTTCAGTCAAGTAGCTATCCGGCTTGGCTTAGTAACAACGGATGCAATCCTAGCTGAAAAACGCGCTCTACAAAGACTACTTGAGAAAGCGCGATTCGAGGAGGATCGTCGGAAAGAGTCGGTCACCCTTCACATATTACAGCTTATGAAGAATTTCAATAATGTTCACCGAATGGAGAATATTATGCGCACAAGCGGGGACCCGTCCTCATGGCTTACTTCGGACAGAGGTTGGGGTTCAGGGAAGATTTCTGGAGGCGGGGATTCAGAGCTGGACAGGAACAACTCTCCCCGTACTCATCAACATTGTGCAGACTGCCGATGCTCTGAGATGGCATTTCTTGAAACTGTAGATAGATTGGAGGATCCTGATTGCTCAAGTCCAAGAACTCCTAAAACACCACGAACTCCACGCACTCCTCAAACTCCTCTTGCCCCAGAAGAACTTCGGTGCCCTATATCTCTGCAGCTGATGTCGGAGCCCGTCATTGTTGCGTCAGGACAAACATATGAGAGAGTCTGCATCGAAAAATGGTTTCGAGAAGGACATGTTACATGCCCAAAGACGAGACAAACCTTGGCGCACCTCAATCTCACTCCGAATTATTGCGTTAAAGGCTTGATCGCAAGCTGGTGCGATGCTCATAATATTCCAGTTCCAGGCCCACCATCTCCTCCGCCTTCACCAGTCTCGTGGCGATGGGAGCTTGGGTCAGCCTCTGAGCTTGTCAAGGTACCAAGTGGCGAGCAGGGGAAAGACGCTCGGGTTGTGCCAGTGGATGATCTTCCAGATGAGGACATCAACACTCCTAGGAATCAGGATGCTGAGAAAGCAGTGGACGCTCTCAGTTGCTCAAGCACCCGTGAACATGTCCAAATGCAGGAAGATAACTTCATGGATGAATTTGGGTCTTCTCAACTTGATGGAAATGGTATGAATCATTCTCTAGCGTTGCTACCCGAAGGGCAATGGGCAAACAAGTGCGAAGACTTGATTGTAGATCTTATAGAGGGTTCTGTAGAGCAAAAATATCAGGCTGCCGAGGAGATCCGGATTTTGGCTAAAACCAATGCTAGGGCACGATCACAATTTGGAGAAAGAGGTGCTATTCCAGCTCTTGTGGAGCTGCTCAGGGTAGCAATTGATGCTGATGACCAGAAAGCTCAAGAAGTGGTGGCATTTTCTCTCCTCAATGTTGCCATCAGTCATGACAGGTAAAGAACCACACTTCTGGAATTGATCCAGTCTATTTGCATTAGCTTTTGTGTAATTCTCAGATGTTTTACGGAACCGAGTTCGAGTAGGCCCTGATAATTATCATTCGTCTATTTATGTTGGTTTGTCATCGTATGGTGTCTCATCATAAGATTTGCTACAAATATGTCTTACTTTGCGTCTTCCGGTTATTTTAGCCTTGCTATGTACATCGTAAATAACTGGAAGACCGCTAAGTGCACCCTTGGAAGTCTTGTACAATGAGCTGATTTCATGCATTGATGTGCACAGGAATAAGGCTGCAGTCGTAGCCGCAGGAGGTGTTCCTCATTTCGTCGAGTTACTGAAAGCAGGAGCTAGTCGGGCATGCAAAGAAGCTGCAGCGGCTGCTCTTCTGACTTTGTCGTGCTTGAACGAGAACAAGGCTTGTATAGGCTCCTCTGGAGCAATTCCTCTGTTGGTGAAACTGCTGATCTCTGGCTCAAACCAGGGACGAAAGGACGCACTGACTACACTCAACAACCTCACCATATTACCGGGCAACCGGCCCCGTGTGGTTCGGGCTGGCGCAATCCCCATCTTAGTGCATCTGCTGAGCTTACGCAAAGTGGACTTGTTGGAGAAGATTGTGGCCTTGCTGTGCATCTTAGCTTCCATTGAAGAAGGGCGGTCCACCATTGCAGATACTGAGGGCGGCATAGCTGTGCTGGCTGAAATCCTTGACTCGGGAAGTATCAAGGAGAAAGAGCATGCCGCTGCCACCCTTTTGTTACTATGTACTAATAGCTTGCAGCATAGCCAATTAGTGTTGCGGGAAGGGGTAATCCCTGCACTCGTCTCCCTTTCTATGGGCAACAGTCCGCGTGGTCAAGACAAAGCTCAGAAACTCCTTCAACACTTCCGTGAACAACGCCAGAAGGAGACGGTGTTCTCACACTCTGCCCCTTTAAGTGTGAGTCTCAGCATGGGAGCAACCATCGATGGCGAGTCATCTGGAACCGAGCCCCAACAGGAGTCTCTTCTGTCCAAGGATGTTGCTAGTAGTCCTCGGAAGGAACAGAAGAAAAAGTTCGGGAAATCACGGTCTGGTTCCCTCGGGTTTATCTGGAAGACAAAGGTGGCTCTTCCCCTCTACCAATGTTAATGTGCACTATCTGACTGTATAAACAAAGCAAAAAGTACAAAAAAATAAAAAAATAAAAAAAATAAAATAGTGTTCAGATACCTGGCTTTTCTGTGGGCTTATTTGATAATTAGCTGCACTGTCGGTTTCATGAAATCATTTCACTAGTCTCTGCTTTTGTGAAGATTTCCTCCAATTCAATTTCAAATGAAGGTGATAGAACGTATCCAATGCTTGAAAAGCTCCTTCCTACAGTGGAAGTATCTGACAAGTTGCCCGCGCTGGCAGCATTCGGTAAGGATCCGTCTAACTTCAGCTAATGTAAACTAGCTTTCTGTGAGTTTGTGAGGACCTTGTGGATATATTCAACTTTGGCCTCAATTACACACAACGAAGATAATTGCACATATCATTTATTGCGTTTTGTATGCATGTGAGAAGAATTTTTTTCTTTGTATCAATATGGGTGGTTCAAAGGAGAAGTTGGCCATATTTGATTATCATATTTTGGAAATTGATATTTTCACCTAGAGTTTAATTATTTCTACCCAGCATTGCGTTGCACTCATCATATTGTTGTTGTGGTTTTGTGACTAATTCAAAGATAATTTTGCTTTGATTAGTGTTCCAATAGGACAACTTTTGCTGGCAATAGTCAAAGGTATTAAGAAAGCACAAATTTTTCTTCAAAAATGTCCAAGTGAAATTGTTGTTGAAATGCAACAAGTCACTAATCTACAACAATAATAATATGATAGGTGTAAAACAATTCTAGGTGAAAATAATATAACTTTGGGTAAGAATACCAATTCTCTACATTTTCTTTATTACAATATCTTTATATTATTTTTTTAACCTTATTATTGTATAAAAGTAGAGTAACATGCAATTTATTCTTATAGTTTAGTATATTGCTTTGTTATACTTTACATCCAATTAATTCTAATCTAAGGTTCACTTTATCTTAATCTTGAGAATTTTAAATAATTTCAAATTTTAGTTAGTATAAATAGATGTCCATTCTAAATCTCAACAAAATCATGAATAAGTTATTTAAATATTTTTTTAGAAATCTAATCCAAAAAAATCTTAATTTTATTTTTTGAAAGTGAATATAATCAATCTTAAATATTTCACAGTGAAGGCCTTATGAATAGACTAAAAAGAGATTACTTATGGAACTAAATTCAATAATAAAATTACATAGATAAGTAAGTATTCAAAAATTATATTTTAAAACAAATAATAGTAAGTAATTTTATTTTTAATTCGTATTATTATTATAATTATAATTATTATTTTAGAAATTGAAACTATGACTCATTAGTTTATAATAGTTGTTTACATTGGTTATAAGTAATAGATTGATTAATGCATATTACTTATAAGTTATAGATATAAGGGAAAAAAAAAATCTCTTAACTTTAATATTATTTTTTTTGAATTATAATAATTAAAACTACAATTTGTTATAGCTTGTTGTTAGTATTTTTTCTATTTGTACAATGTTTAGTTAATTTGATTGCATAAGTTGAAATGAAATCCATCTAAAAAACACATGATTAATGCCTTTTTGGTTGTACTTGCATAATTTGCTTGTTTTGACAACCCAGCACAAATACAAGCCTATTCTATATAATTTGACTAATCCATAGAGCCTGCAATTAAAAATCTAAATAACAGTCTTTTTTTAAGCTTTAACTTTTTATAAACTTTGACTTGAATAAACTTTGAGAAGAGAAAAAATTGAAGATATTGAAAAAGCTCTATTCTTGCACTTTAATTTTCTTCTCCTATTGAATTAACAAGATAAGTTTTATATACTTAAAAGACAATATCAACAATTCTAGATTTGGATACTTTACACACAAATATACAAATAAAACATCTAATCTTATACCATAATGCATCTTCCATCTATGTTTCTATTGCTTAGCTTATTTTTTGTTGTCTAATTTACTTTAACATACATTATTGCAATGTTTGTTTCGTAGATAGTCTTCTACCAAAACCATTGTGATGGTTTTGTCTTATTTATTTAAACTACTTAGAAATAATCTATTATTTGTATTGATGACATTCTATCTTTATTTTTATTATATACATTGTTTTTGTTTTACTTAGTTGGTTTTATAAAAGTCTTATCATTTTCTTGTAATAAGTTACTTCATATTTAATATAAGTACATACTTGAATTTGTGTCCTTTCTCATGGTCTCTCACTTTTGGCTTTGTTGGAATAAAAATTAATTTTCTTTGATGCATTAATACTCAATTCTTCTCATTTATGGCCAATTGCATGGTGTGTATTTTAGTTTCTTTATCTCAAAGCAAAGTAAGCTTTAATATTATTATTTATTGTACTATAATTTAATAAAAATATATAGAAGAACTTATACCAATATTTTTGAAAGATTATATATATATATAAATATATATATATATATATATATATATATATATATATATATATATTTCAAGAAGATTAAATTGAATGTTGTTAGAAAAACATGAAAATTATACTAAATAATTTGAGATAGAAAAGAATTTCTAAATTGAAATAATGTTATTACTATTATTATAATAAATTTTTTTCTATCCACTACTATTGGTTGTAAGATTCTTGAAGAAATGCTTAATAAAATTATTGTAAATTTATTTAAATTTAGAAAGTTTAGACGCCTAATTGAAGTTTGTGTATAACAAGAAAAAAGTTTAAAGTTAAATTATAAGTTTATAAAACATATTTTCTTGATTTATATATATATATATGAAATTTAAATATAGATAAAATTTTAATAATTTTATTTTTAAAATTAAAAAAAATTATACCAAATTAAAAAAGATGATTAAGCTATAATTAATAATTATAAGAAAAAATTGGTTTTTCTAAAATTTTAAAATTTTCAATGAAGATTTTTGAAATTAATATATTTAAAACTTTTGATAATAAATATAAGGTGTATCTAAGAATGCAAAAGTTATAAAAAAAAAAAATACTTAATAGGTTTAACTCCAATAACAAAAAAATTAAGTCTTTTATATTTTAATTTACATATTGAGATCAAAAAAATTTAAAAGACATGGAAATGATAATTTATTGTATAAATCAAAGAAATATCTATACAACTTGAAGTAGGGTTATAAATAATTTTATAAGAAATTTGATGTGTTCAAATAAAAAGGTTATAATCAAAGCAAATTTAAAAAATATATATGTTTTAAGAAATTAAAAATATTTTACATATATATATATATATATAATACTTATATTTTATATGTGTAATTTATTGGTTTGTAGCAAAAAAGAAGTCTAATATTGATTAGTTTAAAATATATAGTAATAAAAAGTTTTATTTACAACTTTTAAAAGCAAACAATAATATTTTACATATCTATATTTACAAAGATTGTAGAAAACATAGACTTTAATTATTAGAAAAGAGGTTCATTCTAAATATATTAATTCACTTTAGCATAGTAAAAGTATAACTAATAAATAGATTTTAATATTAATATTTATATTAATATTAATATTTTTATTATCTTCAATATAATTATCCTAATACTATAAATAAAATAAAATATTTAAAGCATTATATGTATGTGAAATATGAATTTTTTTTCATGAAATAATATATTTTAAATTGAATTTTTCGTATGTTATAGGTATAATTATTAATTATACTAAAAATTTAAAAATTAAATATTGAGAAGCAATAAAATAGATAGTTTTTATTTAAAAGGTTTTTATTAACTTTTATGTCATAGTATTATTAGGACAAAAGAAATAAAGACATATCACAAAATATTTTAATATTGATTTTATTAAAAATTTACACAAGAGATTTTCTACTGTTAATAATATTTTTATAATAATTAGAATACTTATAAGTTAGAAGTCTAATTTACATTTTAATACAATACTTTCAATCTTAAAATCATATGATATGGTGATTGAATAAAGAATTGAAAATGAAATGCAATTGAAAATATTTAGTAGTAAGATTGATCTAGTGCAAGATTTTGCTTTATTACATTAGAATAATCAAAAACGTGTATTTTTTTGAATAGAATTATGTATGATATCTAAAAATATAAAACATACACACATACACACACACACACACATATATATATATATATATATAAAATGCCATTGCTGATAATGAGATTTACTTAAAAAATTTAGATATAAAAATAAATTTAACTAATATGACAACTTCTGCTTAAACTTGTTGACTATTAAATATGATTGATGAAAGAACATGTATTAACAAACAAAAGAAAATATCATTTTCACTAAAAAAATAAAAATAGAAATAATCGTATATATATGATATATTTTATTTACTTGCTCTTAGGTACAATACAATAAACTTATTTGCCATTTATAACTACCTCTATTATAATTTTTATAAAAATAATACTATATAGTACAATGTATATTCTATTTAGTAAGAAATTATGTCATCTTATGGAAATTTAGTAATTCTGATGTATACCTTGAAAGAATTCCAAATATATGTTTATTCATCAAATTTTAATAAAAAATTTTAAATACATATAATATTTTTTTGTGTATTCAATTACATATATGTATTTTTTTAATATTTTATTTATTTTACTTTATTTTTCTTATTTTAGTGGTTTTTAAAGTTACGTATTACTATTTCATTTATAATAGTCCATATCTAATTTCTATCCATGTTTTATTTATTTATTTTGATTTTAATTTTTAAATACATCCTTTTTATCTAATAATTTTAAATATATAAAATTTTATAAAAAATTAAAATAAATAAGATGATTAAAATTTAAAATTATAAAAATATATTTAATTAAATAGGATATTTTAGAAGTAAATAAAAATTAAAATAAAAATATATTTAAAAAAATTTAATTGTTTTTTTACAAAATTATAATTTACTTTATTAGTTCTTTATTAAAATTTAATATTTCTAAGAAAATAATCTATTAATTAATCCAATAATATACATGTATTCTTAAAAAATTGCTTTTTATTCTTTTTATAATCTACTACTTTTTAATTAGACATATTTTTTTCTAAAAATATTTAAAAAGAGTTATTTTTATTTTTATTTTTATTTTTTATTTTTTAATTTATTTCTTCCTATAAGAAGAGATAAAATTCAAAATACCTTTAATTATCAAACACCAATTTTTTTGACAAAATACTTAGTGTGCTTACTTTAAGCATCTTGTAAGTAGTTATTATTAGAAGTAAATATTATAAATAATAATAATATAAATATTCTTTATTTGGCTAATAAGCCAAGGTTGATTATTATTTTGGACTATTCTTATTTTTAAGTAGTCCATGTAGAAATTATTAAAATAAGTATGAATATTATACCTAATTTGACCTCATTTTTTATATTTTTTTTGT